TGTATAAAATACAAGCATTGTGCATCAAAAACTCACTTTCCAAGTAGATCTGATACCTCTGTATTGCACTTCCTCTAAAAGTAATACTGTGAAACCAATATCCGAGGCATCAACATCTTTATTTCCCAAGAGGATATGAAGAAGGCTTTGAGAAAGCTCCCGAGCCCTGACTGGCAAAGAGCAAGAGGAAACACGTCACTAATTTACACATCAGGTTGATTCTATTGCAGCTATTTCTAAAACACCATGCAGCTTCAAATTGATGATAAAAATTTTTTATCTTTGCCAGAAAAGTGTTTTCTTTATAATAATAATAATAATAATAATAATAATAATAATAATAATAATAATAATAATAATAATTATTATTATTATTATTATCTTTTTAAAAATTGAAATATGCACATAATCTACAATATAAGTACTAGTAGTATGCAGTTTCATATCATAAATATAATTCATAATGATACATTTTTAAAATGTTCAATTTCTACACAATAAATTGTGTAGGAATTGAACAGTTTTAAAATTTCTTGTTATGAATATCATTACCACACAGATCAACTTTCGTCAGAATCATAAATATAATGTAAACTTACATGCCAAGAAAATGTAATAAAGGATCAGAGGTCTAGTAACAATAATAAAGTCATTTCTAATTTTAAAGAAATCGCCTCCGAATCAGTACTCCTTTTCTACAAAGTGAAATCTTCTATGAACTCACAACAGCTAACTTATCTGCAAACATTTAATAATAACAAGTGACCCAGAATATACACATTAACAGACACAAAATTTAATGTAATGAAACTTTCATTATCCTATAACCACCAACACAGATTAATTACTACAGCCACTCCTGCAGCCAGTGTAGTAGATTGTCCCAATTTTCAGTTCTGTAATAAAATGCTACCCAGAGTTTCTGAGGCAATGTATGCACTGGGATCTCAGATCATCATAATCAGCACACATGATGACGTTTAACTTCAATAATTTGGATGCTTTCTATCAAATTGGTTATTATTTCAATTATTGTTATTATTATAATAATTATTATTATTTAATACAATTATTATTTTATTACAGTTATTATTATTATTATTATTATTATTATTATTATTATTGTCCATTTCTGTAAAGAACAGCATATATTGGGAAGGATGAGGCAGCTATCAATACCATGCATGGAAACACCCAGAGATTCAGAGATTACTCAAAGACTAAAGAGGCATGCTGGCAGCAGTGTTTTCAGTAACCTCTAAAAAAAAGGAGTGCCTGGGAATCACACCTGCATAATTTAAAACTTAACTACAAGCTACATGTGCATTACTGAAATATGGTGCTTGCAGTGAAAGATAATCATTAGTCACAGTAAATACTGCAAGGCTTTCATTTATCTACAAGCAGATATTACTTCACCTACCATTTCTGTAAGAGGCAAATCACGTTGATTTAGGAGTAAGTTGTACATATATCACTTGTGTTAAGCATAAACCAAGCACATATTTCAAACTGGGCTTTTTTATGATATTTTCTTCAGTTTTCAATTATTCATTTTCTCAATTTTGCCTTTGTGCAACATGTATATTATATCACATCTGAAACACTCCTGTCATTCGCAGCATCATATTTTATGAACTTTTCTTCAACTCTCATGTAACTCTGAAGATCACTCATAGATTGATTTTACAGCCTTAGGCACAGTGGGAAGTCTCAGCTCACATTCTGTAATGGGAAATCAAATTACAACTTGCATGCAAGCCTTTCTTTATATTTTACATGTATTTTATTTGTATTCTAGACAGCTATGGTGGACTGCATCTCTTGTTCCACTTTCCTAACCACAGGCTCGTTAATAAATAAATAAATAAATAAATAAATAAATAAATAAATAAATAAAATTAAAAATGAAGTTTATGTGCCAGCAAAACTGATTGGTCAGCAAGTCACAGTGAAATACCATGTCCTTAATAATTCATCTATCCACTGCTCTTGTGAGTAAAATCAATATAGTACTACAATTAAAATTCTACTTCTGTTTCAAATGCTGGTGTATACTATCAGTGTTTGAAAATGTCCCAAAGTCATGCTAATTTTTTATGTTCACACACATGCACACACACACACACACACACACACACACACACACACACACACACAACTGACAATGACCTCAGCAATGGACAACTTTAATTTATCTTCCAAGTTTACCATCCAAGAATTCTAAGACTAGCTAGTAAAATCATAACATTCAGTAACATTGTCCTACTCATTATACAGTCTAGTAAATGCCTGATTTGGTTCTACAATTATACACCATCTCTGAAACATACATGCAGTTTCTTTCATAAATGACTGCTCCAACTCACTCCCAGACCCTATGGGCGCATTCCCATAGATTTTAGATCGAACTATCCCCGAAGGGAGTCTCACTAGATTACTGTCAGATAATCCGGCTGAAATGTCTATAAGCTGTAAGGGGGTAATTAACTTTTGTGCCCGCTCGGCTGACAGCTATTTAGCTTGAACCCCCAGGGAGTTAGGTTGATCTAGTTGGATCGATCTAATCTCTGGGAATGGGGTCTATGGCATTGATCTCACGGAGTATCAAGACATAATAATACTGTTTCCAGTTCACCCTTTAACGATTCTGTACATAAAATCTATAGCAAATATTACCACCATCTTACTGCTAATCCTTATAAGTTGTCCTACATTTATCACCTTTGCAACTGACTTGGATTTCTTTCCCGACTCTGTTCCAACTTGAGTGATCACACTTCTGCAACCGATCTTGGTAAATGTAATAATGTCACAGAAAAAGAGATTTCGATTTCCAGCACACCCCTTATCAACACTGTACATTATAAATGTATGTGCTAATTCATGTCTTTCTTCTACAATAATCACCTTAATGCCAGCTTACTAATTAATTTTAAAACTACTTATCTGACTCTGGCCCGCAAGGGTGCAAATGAATGATCTCAGATGAGCAACTGTCTCCTAAAGAAGGCACATTCTGTTTCCAATTTACCCTTTATCGACTTTTAACATCCTAAAACATGCAACTAACCCATGTGCTATTTCGTGACATTCTTCTAGGTTTAACGTCTGTGCAGCTCATTTGTTAAGTTCTTCCACGTCTCGACCCACACCAGTGTTAAACAACTCTCACTAGTGCAACTGATCTCAGCAAGTGTCACAGAAAAAAAAAAGCTCAATTTCCCAGCTCGCCCTTAATCAATCTCTTAGGACTCTCATAAGTTAAGTCCAAGACATGCAACTAACCTACAATGTAGTGCTGAATGTAATTCTTGAAGTTCTTCCACGCCGATTGCCTTCGCAACTCGTTTTAACTTCTTATCGGACAAGGTTCCAACCCACACGAATCCCCTTCAGCACATTGATCTCCGGAAGAGTTGCAGAACTTCACAATTCTGTTTTCAGTTCACTCTTTAATGACTTTGTAAGTAAAATCTATAATGTACCACTGTCTAACTCGTTAACGGCTGATGTTGTTCTACATCCACCACCGACTATACTATACTGGAGGGCTCGGATCAATCTCGGATCAATACAAACTGAGTATCACATATCCACATGCCTGGCTGTTTATACAGAAGCCAGGGGAATGTGCATATGGATAATCAATATGTGAATTTATTATTCGTCTTTTTAATTGCAATCTGCATTGAAGAATGGTGGTTTGTTTTGGTCAGGTCAAGCAAAACAATTACCAAATTGGAGGACCATTAAGTGACCAGAATATTTGATCAGGGATTGAGCAGTTTAAGCTATTGCCATGCTGGTCTTACTAGGCCAGAGGGCAATAAAGGTCAGAAACTTCAAGATTTAGTCTTTGAAATCTTCAAGGGGTGTGGCCATATTAATGTGGATTTAAAAAGACTGAGAAAATCTCATGACTTCTATCGTTTTAAGCCCTGCATAACATGCAAATGATCTTGATAATATTGCTAATACATGCTTAGATATTTTTAAGCTAAAAAAATAACTTTAACAAACTGCAACTTAAAAAAATTTTGTTAAATTTTTTTATCCTTTTATCTATTTATTGTTATTATTATTATTATTATTATCCTTTTTGGGGGGGGGAGGGGGGTGTATTGCTAATGCTAGCATTATAGCAAGAGTAAACCTTGTTGTAAATTAATAATTCATATATTTTTGACTCATGCCATCGTAATGGGGCCCTGACTATGAGTAAAGACAGAAGAAGTTTATGTCTATGATTGCTGTGCATCTATCTAATGTGCCATTAACTTCCTTTCTCTCTCTCTTCTCCTTCCTTCCTTCTCCCTTTGTGTGTGTGTGTGTGTGTGTGTGTGTGTGTGTGTGTGTGTGGGGGGGGGGGGTCATGTCTACGTGATAGTGTAGTCAAATAAACACCCCAAGCTTGTCTAAGAAATACCAAATTGAATTAATAAGAAAAAATCTATTGTAACCACACAGCAAGATTATTGTTAATTACACACAACCATGTTCAAACTAGNCTTTATTATAACCGACCCCACATAACATGAACTATACCTTTAATAATAAAACCCCAGGAAACTATGGGCTCACATCTTTGGATAACGCAATCTGATTACACTTTTTTATACTGTGGTCCCTGACTGTGAGAGAAAGACCCAGTCAAATCAGAGGGTCAGTGCCTGCCAAAGTCAAAGACACGTGAGAAAGAATGAATAAAAGGGAAAAAAGTAGGAAAAATAACCAATGAATATAGGAGATGGTAATAATATCTTATACGTACAGCAATGAACGGGACCGGTAGGCCTATGACTTTATACCCCATCACACAAAGATTTTACAGTATACGTTTAATTCGAAATGCCCTTTTTGTGACTACTAGTATATAATTCTATTATGACAATTTGAAACGGCATGCTGAGTTTTTTAAGAGAAAGGTAGATTGATGCCGTTGACAGAAAAGCTGACACGGCACTTCAGAAATATTAATCCATTAATTTTAATACAATATGAAAGGATCTCTTGTGTGTGGTAAGTGAAGGTTTGATTGATTTACCTACCGGCAGCTTCCATCAGTTTTATCATTTCAAAGAGATGACGTTTTGAAAATTTGATGTTTGCTGTTGTCAGTTATAAGGACGTTTTATGCACTATTACTAGTGCAAATCGCCATCCAGTCGGCTTGGATACATTGAACACACACACACACACACACACACTCCAGGAAATTTTTTGGTATTTTAGAGGGCGAACGGTGCCATTTGGTACGGTTTAGACCAGCTAGTCAAAATTCTAATTACGAGAGGGGACCAGAAATCGAAGGGGGGGGGGGGGGAGTCAGGACCCCCCTGACCTCCCCACCCCTCTAAATCCGCCACTGCTAGAGGCATAAACGTTCACAAACAAATGTATCTCTCCCCCTCTCTCTTTTGTGCAATTTCCTTGTATGAAATTTGCTCAGACGGTCATGTCGGCGTGCCTGAGAAATTGTGTTGCTGATACAGAAATGTCACTACTGGCAAATTCTATAGGGTTCTTGGTCCTTTTTATATTGAGACACTTTAATTAAAAAAATTGAGAACAAAATGTAGACCCAAATAACCTGCCTTTTACTTAAGAGTCACCTAAACGGGATCTGCTAGTAGTCTTTCACAAAATTATTGTATCGGAGCCTGTGGTATCAGAGAGTAGCACTCGCACGCGACACGGCCAGTTAACCGGATTAATTTTGACTGGTAACTTGGGCTTGTGAGATGGAGCAAAAACTGTGTGATCACATGTTACAGTAATGTTGTTGCATAGTTTGCCTTGGTGAGGCTGGTGCGGTGCAGAAAATTGGCGATTTCACGTGGAATCCGCAGAGTTAGTCTACACACCGAGTTCCAAAGCAATTCTGGAAACTCACTTCTGTCACTACAGGCATACGTTATGTGGACATGCTGAGAATATAGGGTTGAGTTTCTACAAGTCTCTACAACTATTCGGTTTCTAGATTATCTCCGAAAGTCAAGGTGTCAGAGCAACAGGCCATAATGATTGTTATCTTGAGCAGCAATAAAATCCTGAATTATCCTTTTTTTTACAGTACACTGGACTGGCAGAAGAGACTTGCTCCAGTATTGGTAAGTCTAGACTTACACCCTCAGGGTGCTTCTTAACATCTGATAGTCTAAAAACTGGTTTTGTTTTGGTACAAAAGTAAAGAAAGAAAGAAAAAAAGAAAGAAAGAAAGAAAGAAAGAAAGGAAAGTAAAAAAGAAAAAATCACCATTACAACTGATGCACCTAACCAGAGAAATATAATAATCAATGATAATATCTCCTTTTTAGGTTCGTGTCCACAGGGTCAATACAACGCCAACACGGATTCTGACGAAACCTGCGACTGGTGTGCCAATGGTGTGAGGCAAGGTGCCTGTGTCGCCTGTCAGGCTGGGCAATACCAAGACCAATATGGCTCGTCAGCGTGTCTCCCGTGCCCAAGCGGGAGCTACCAAAACGAAAGTGGGTCTGCAGAATGCCTTCCATGTCCACCTGGGCAATTCCAAAGCGAAACTGGGTCTCAGACCTGCATACCGTGCGCTGTAGGAGAGTACCAGAACCAGAACGGGTCAACGTCATGTTTGCCTTGTCCGGTCGGGCAGTTCCAGAGTTCTTCTGGGCAGGCAACTTGTTCCCTCTGCCAAGCGGGCCACTACCAAGATACCATCGGTCAGACAACCTGTTCCTCTTGCCCTGCTGGTCAATATCAGAACTCAACCGGGCAGTCAACCTGTATCCAGTGCCCTGTGGGGCACTACCAAAGCTCTGTAGGACGGGCGGCCTGCACAGCCTGTCCCATTGGGCAATACCAGAGTGCAGCTGGAGCGGTATCTTGTGTCAGTTGTTCATCTGGGTCCACAACGGCGGCAACAGGGTCCACAAGTGCGTCTGACTGCGTTGGTGAGTGTGAATAAATGCACGTCTGAGACATGCAAATGTCTTAAAAATGAGTAAAAAAAGTAAACATGGTATCACACATAACCACAAAAGTACGTAGGCTTACAGATACACATAAATGTTTCAAAAATTAACTTGCAATTAAAGAATTGCTTTAATACAGTTTCAGATCCTAATTGTGGGCCAGGGTATACTTTACAATACGCAGGTAAAAACTACTACTTCGGTGACCCAAAACAGGGACGGTCGCAGGAGGCGGCCCAGACGTGCTGTCAAAACATGGGGATGATCCTTGTTGCCATAAACGACGCACAAGAATGGAACTTTGTTGACTCCAATGTAGCCTCCACCTCATGTAAGTATTTGGGGTTTGCACTGATGGAATATTCAGCCCTTATTGCCCAAGGCCTCTACTAACTGTCAGTTTTTTAAATATGTTTTGGCTTCAGCTTTATTTATATTCCTGTGAGTACGAGTGTGTGTGGCTTTGTGTTTATGCTTGTAAAAGCAAGTTTGGGGTTTTGTTTGCATCCTCTTTCAGTAACAAAGAATCAAATTCAATTTCAGATAATGGATACTGGTGTGATGCGGAGTGTATCAATAGTGTCTGTATTTGGAAGAACAGTCCCAACTCAGTATTTTACAATCCCGGGGTTGGGGGAGGTGCAATAGATGGAGCAGGGAATGAACCGTGCCTCGTTATGAAATGGGCTGGTGGCATCGATTACCAAGATCTTGCTTGTACAAGCACTAGCTACAACGCTGGGTTTGTGTGTGAATAATAGACACATTTACCTATATTTCTACGTCAATGGCGGCAAATAATGATCAGAATGGCCAAGATTAAACAGGTGCACTGTTAGCCACCAATAGGGGTAATAACGATACAGAAAACACAGAGAAACTCTGTTTGAGATTGTCCGCCATACCCCCCAAGGCAAGCTTTGGCTATCTAAATCATAATTTTGTTTGTATTACTATTTATTACTTTAGAGGCATACAATGCATGTCAGAATCTGTTTATTTAGCAAAAATAATAGCAAAAAATAGTGATGATAATAAAAATAAAATAAAAATAAAATCAATGTCTCAAAGTTTTGAAACTTTTAGATGGTTTTTATTTTGATAGTAAAAGTAGTCTGGTTAATTTTTGCTATATAAAGGTCTTACCTGTATTGGCTGCCTTTTTTAAAGATTTATTTTTGATCGTCATAGCAGTGAGGAAGAGAAATATGGTCTATACAGAACTGTAGAAGTGGGTGAAATATTTCTAGATCTGAAATCATGACAACCACTGATAAGGTGTGAAAAATATATTTTGACCAAATCTGTCATATAAGAAAAAAGAATTTCAAGAGGGCACATGAAATATTAAATGTTTGATTTTTTTTTTGCCTTTTAATATTATAATGGGACAAATGAAGCCAATGACTTTTTAAACTTCCAATAGTTTCAGGTAAATTAACTTTAGAATTGCTACAGGATTTATCCAAAATATCAAGAATGCATATTTTTGAAAATATATAATAATCACAGGTCTAAATTTTTTAGTGAAAATCGCTTCTCTTGTAAACGTCTTTGCATTCAATTTGTTGATCAAATGTGTGTGCAAAATACCTCTAAAAATATTATACAACCAGTTATTCCTAGGCCTAGGCAGAATTAAATGTTATCACATTTTAAACATCCACGAATCAAGCACTGTGAATACATCATTTTGTACAAATAAGCCTTCCTGCTAGTGGAGATGTTAATCAATACTTTGCAAGTATCAATACTTCACACAATAAATAAAATTTTGCAACCTGAATAATTGGTTATTTGCCAAGTAAATATGTACATTGCTCCTAGTATATCACTTAACTTGTTTGTAATTCGTCAATGTTATGTTTTTGTGTTGTCTCAATCACAACATATTTGTATTCTTTGACAACAGCACCTCAGAAGTACGGTTGTACTATTTTGATATAACTGCTATCACTAAATGTTAATAAAGCATGTTTACAATCCACAAAAACTTTTCAGCCATTTCTGTAAAATTTATTTATTCAAGATTATAGTATCAAATAATTATAAAAAAAGAAGATAACTTATAAAGTTTTTGAGGAGATCTTTCATTAACTTGTTATTTCCCAAGCACCATCATTTATAATAATGTCCCATTCCTATGTCTACTCTTTATTTAAATCTTGTTATAATTTCCATGAAAAAAAAAAAGACTTTAGCCGTTTCCAAGAGCTTTGTCTGCTTCCTCTAAAATTCTCCTCTTCCATTCTTCATAGTCACTGTCATCTGCTTCTTTAGCTTCTTCTACCTTTGTAACTTTAGCATCTGAGACAAAATCATCATCTGGAAGAAAAGCAAATCTATTAAAGCTCTGTTCTTACTGGTGCTGGAGTAAAGTCAAAGACTTATCATATTGATGCTCTTATGGGGAGATAGGGGTGGGGGGCAAGGATGTAAAAAAAGTTGCCTCGCTTCCCAGATAAGTATAAATCAACAAATTATAATTTATTTATTTATTTATATAACCACTTTTAAACAAGGCAGCAAAGCTGTCAAATGTACAGACAAAAAGCAGGAAATAACTATGCACAAAATAGACTACTGTCAATTCTGGTGCAAAAGTACATTATGTTNTTTTATTAATAACATTTGATTGTCATTATGCTGTTAAACATTATGTAATGTTGCATCAAAATTTGAAGAAACCCCTATTTTGTACACTGCTCCTATGATGACCATTTAAGGGAAATCATGTCACTTACTGTTCTCAAACTTACAGGAAAGAAACATGGGTCTAACATACAGCTTCAATAGGCAACGCAGTCTGTTTGGTTAATTTTTCTGGCAATTTAACAGTTTTTTGTGAAAATTTAATTTTTCACTTATTTGCATCTTTATTTTCTGTTTTTTTGTCTGTACATTTGACAGCTTTGCTGCCTTGTTCTTATATTGTGTTTACAGTGTTGCATGTATGCTGAAAAGTGAAAAAAAAACATAACTACTAAAATAGTGGCCCGATCATGCCGATTTTCGAACTTGACCTGCATTTTAGTAAGATCGATTACTCCTGTGAGTTTCATGACAACAGGCCTATCTGTTTTCCTTGAATTGTGTTTACATTGTTGCATATATGCTGAAAAGTGGAAAAACAGCATAACTTCTACAATAATGGCCCGATCATGCTGATTTTCGAACTTGACCTGCGATTTATGAATATTCATCAGCTCTGTAAATATAAAGCCAAAAAGTAAAACTGCCTTCCACTTATCGTGTTTGCAAGGATAGTGCACGGCGCTGGCGACGACGTCGACGACAGACGCAGGTGATGGCAATACGTACAGACACATCTGTGTCTGTACATAATAATAATAATAATAATAATAATAATAATGTCAAGGTCTAATGTTAACATTTTAATGGGCCACTGGCAGAAACTTTATAGTCCAAATATTACTGGGTCGTATCACATTTCAGAAGTGAAAGAAATCAAACCCAATTAAGCTGGATATAAAATAAAGTAACCCAAGCACCCCGAGTGTCAGAGTAATCTCATTTACTTACCTCTTCCCATCATTCAGTGCACATATCATGGGTACTATACACTGAGATTATCTATGAGGGTTTACAGTGGACTGGGAAAATCAGGGTATCCCCAAGAGACTTCCGTTATTTCCTTCAGCAGCTGTTGTCTTACTCAATCACAGGATTGGTGTGATAAGGCATCTGAAGAAAAATTACTCTTCTGAAATAATCAATGAAATATGGCAAATTAACTTGGGGGTAATTGCATCCTTAAACTCTTTGCTAGAGGAGGAGTTTAAAATTACATGATAAAACAGTCATTTTCTTTTATCCAATATTGTTTTATGACGTTTTTTTTTTTCTTTTAAATTCATGTATTTTCTGTATGTATTAAAGATACTCTATAGCCACGGTCACAACTGGACGCACAGATTTTTAGGATCGCATGTCCCCTGCGCATATTGCGTGCAGTAGAATCCGTGGAAGTCGCAGAGGTAGACGAAAGTCTGCCTTGCGAGTTGCGAGGGCCAAATGAGATGTCCTTTCAAGCAGGGACGCTAACTGCAAGGTGCAATGGCCGCAGAAATTGTACTCATGCTGAGAAGTAACTGTTTTAGGCCACCCTTATTCTCATATTTCTTTGTGTACTTGTACAGGACAAATTAAAAAAAATTATACAACAGCAATGGATCCTAGCAGCTAGGACCCAAAATATTTTCTTTCCTAGCTAGAAGCCTTTATATTATTACAAGTGTGGGGAGGGGTAGTGACAAACATTTAACGTTATATAATACTTTATATTTTTCATGTGTGCTTTAATTATTGTAAATATGAGGCTCTAAAATGTCAATGCAAGATAAGGGATACTCAATCTAAGTACAGTCAATGTGATTTACCTGTATAATCTGGGTACAGGAAATATGAATTTCATGTCATAAACAGACATGTACACCCACTCACATTCTCACACAGCTCACTGCAATCCTGTTTTTTTCTTATGGTGAGAAGATCATTGATTATTTTTGCGATAGTAACACCTAACACTAATTACTTCCACACAGCGTAGTGAATGTGTCATGACCTCAACATGCAACTCGTATGCAGAATATTGCACCCGGCACCAGACAGTGACCAAGCTTTAATTTACCGTTTTAAATAGTGGCAGCTAGTTATACAAGTAATGCAAAGAGCCTCTCGAAACAAACAGTTACATGATGCGAAAATGTTCACTGAGTGTCAAGCAAAAGCTGGACAAGAGACACCGCAATACACATAAATTCACCAATGTAAGGAAAACACTGTGACTACTACTAATAAGTAAGGGACCCTGTCGCTGTCAGCGACATCCCGTTGGTGACCGAATTTGCACGAACTGTAAACAACACAGTAATCGATACAAAGACAAACCTGGATGCGAGTTCTCCTATACTAACCAATATCTCTACATATCCCTGCTGCCTTCAGCTGTATGATAACTGTTACAAGGATATCACTCTAACTGAAGTCCGTCCCAGATGTCAATAAACCTTTGCTGTGAACTCAGTAAGGTTGCTGTTGCTACAGTTGTTCCTGGGATGTAATTTCAAGTAGATGGCGCAACTAATGCAATTTGACTGCAAACCGGGTGTAAATTAAATTATCGAACAAATTGACAATAATAACAGAAGTAATCAGAAATGTATCAATTTAAAATTTAATGTATTTTTATTACACATTTAATTAATGTAGAAATTTAGGATATTGGCGTTACAAAGTTTTTCAGTAAAGTTTTCTGCGGATGTAAAAACGCGACTTCCGGTTGCAAGCATTGAGAATTTTCAGATCTAACATTACATTGTAGATCCTGCTTTATATGATGGCAGAGGAGGAGGAAGAAGAAAATTTGAGTTCAGACAGTGACGACGAAGATTATGTTCCATCTGGTAATGATTTCTGACGTTTATTTTAGTACAGAAGTAGGTGAATCTTTTTCAAGAGCATACTTGGAATGCTTCTGTTCGTCTGTTGACTTTTCTTATATTGTCAAAAGCCACGCTCGGCTGTCACCTTGATTGGATAGTAAACAGTTGTCGTAAAATCGCTAAATGATATTAAAACCCGGTGCATAAAGTTGAAAACCACCTAGGACAACCTCAGACTGCCACATTAATCAAATACAATGCAAAAATAAACTATAACAAGTGGTTAAAGCCTTCAAACCGAATGTCGTAAAGTCCCCATATACCTCCATAGAGACAATAAAATATAGTAAGCTTCTGAAACAAGAAAAATCCAGTTCCAACATAATAATCGAAATAAAATACTGCCGGGCATCGGAGCGGCCTAAAACTTGGCACGCTTACCGCTAATACTGTAGGCTACATCATTGGTCCTCTCTACAATCCAATTCAGGAAATGACGTAACCGCAGAGGTCGCATTGTCCAATGGCATGGCTTCTTTTTCGTAATGGTAGGTTAGAGAGGACCAATTCAAACATCAGAGGTGGAATTTGGATATACGGTTTGATTGTGCGTATGCCATGCACGGAATTTACAAACGAGCAAACATATTCAAGGAAAAAAATGAGAAAAATTCTATATTTGCTAAAAATTAATAAGGAGTGAAATAAATAGATACAAGCATACAAATGTTAACTGCTATTGATATTACTATTAGGAAAGAGATGACATAGACATAGAGAGGAAATTAACGTGCAAGTCCTGTGCAAGTTATGTGACATTTGACAGTTGTCTGATTTTGTATTTTTGACATTAAAAAAATATTTTTAAGGTGGGGATGAAGGCAGTGAAGAAGAAGTTTCAGGTGAAGAAGAAGATTTATCACTCTTGAAAGAAGATGATATTGAAAATGGCATAAATAAAAATACAAAGAAAAGAAAAGGAAAGACAAAGGGTAGGAATGACAAGGAAAGCTTTTTTGGGAGGTAAAGTTGTATGTATTGTGCACCAGTCATTCTTTTTGTTAAGATAATATTGTTAATGATAATAATGATTTTTAATATGATAGAAATAGTAACCATGATAATGATGCTAATGATAATATTGTCAAAGGTGCTCTACCAAGAGTTTAAATACCTGTTACAATGGGTTTTATATTTAGAAGACAGGATCTATACTATAGTAAAGTAAAAATTTCTTTAAAAAAAAACAGCCCAGTGCCTTTAAGTCATTCTGTCCTGGGCCATTCATTTATTAACTACTTTTAGAGACTCAAATATCATACTGTTGACTTTTCATCTATGTCTTCTTTTATTTTAGGCGTTTAATCATTTATAACATCTGAATTGGGAAAGATAAATAGTTTTGCCAAATAAGTCAACAAAGAAAGAATGATTTTCAAAGTTTGGGACATTTTAAGACGTAAGGTAAACCTTTAAAAAGTAATCCCCACTGTAAATTGATTGTTAAAACTATTTTGTTTATTAAGCAGGAAAAGAAAAGGAGGAATAAAACTTGAAGATGAAGACAAGGATGGCAAAGAGGATAATGAGCAACAAGAGTCTAACATTGCAGAAGAGATGAAAAAAGAACAAGAAGATGTCAAAGAACTGAAAGAAAAGCAAAAAGCAGATGATCTATGGGCTAGTTTTTTAAGTGACGTTGGGCAAAAACCCAAGCCAAAACCAGCTTCTGTCCCTTCAGGCCTGGGATCTCTTTCCTCAGTGACAAGTATAAAGGTGTGTTAGCATGGGGGTTAGTTCAAAGCTCTCATGTCTCAGATACCTACAAGATTTCCATGTATTCTTTGTGAGTGGTGGACGTTAATTTGGATGTTTTTTAAGGAAATTTATTGAAATCATGATCAGAATCCCTTTCAAGTGTTGTGTCCAGTAGTTAACCTCCAACAGCTTAAACATAAAACTAGATTACTAGTACAAAATTTTGAAGAATTTTGGCAACTTGAGTAATGAAAACAAAAAATTCCCTTATATTATTGATATTCCTTTGTTTAACATAATTTTTTCTTTTTTTACTTTCATTTTCATGTGAAGCCTAAATCGATTGAGTCTGCAGCAGAGTTGAAAGCATCACCTCCTGAAAATAGTGCATCCAAAGAGAGTGGCCCTCAGAAAATCACAGTGACCAAAGTGTTTGACTTTGCTGGAGAGGAAGTCAAGTGAGTCACCAATCAATAAACATTGTCTGTTTTAACAGTTTTATTATTTATTTTTTCAATATATGATTTAACATGCAGTTGTCAAGATCTTAACACTTTTCACACTAGGCTGATAGTGTCATGTTTTGACCATTTGTACATCCTTAGCGATTTTTATGCCGTTTTCTATTGGAATTACTAAAAACTCCACATGGACAATTTGAAATGTGAAAATTTGTTTTAGTCCATTAAGTGTTTTTAGTTGGGCAGTGTACATATTTATTTTTAGCTTTTGCCAAGGAAAAAATCATTCCAAAAGATTTGACCAAGTTATTATTATACAGTTGGAAGTTATGCAGTGAGTCTGCTGTGTATGATAAGGAATATCAAAACTTTCCTTTTGTTTCTTCATTTCAGGGTCACAAAAGAAATTGAGGTCAATTCTAAAGAAGGTAAAAAAGAGTTAGAAAGAATGGAAAAGGAAAAGAGCACTGATGTCTCAAAACCAGGGTAAGTGACAATATCTTAAAATTGAAGTGTTCTCTTTGCATTTTTATGACAACTTAAGTGAATAGACTGTGCATTTAGTGCATAATTCTTGTTTGTAAAATTTCAATAAAATTTGTGTGCAATAGTTTCAGATATATTTACGTGTAATGTCTTTTATTTAATTTGATTGTATTCAGAATGAAGAGACCCATGGGTTTGGGCAGTGTTCTTGGGAAAATTGGGAAGAAACCAAAACTAAGTACTTTGGTAAGAATAGGTCTTTAAATCTTGAGAAGAAATAGAAGTCGAGGTCTATGGGAAGTGCCAGAGTCTTCAAAATCTTCTGGAAAAAAGTCAGAAACGGGTGTTTATAGGAATGTGCAGAGACTTGTCAGGATAAACCTGAATTTCCAGAGCTTTATGGTTTAAAAACTTTAAAACATTATGTCATCTTGAGTTCTCTTCAAGTCATTTATCTTTCATAATTTTTATGCAAGTTCAGCTGTCTGGTATTGTTTTATACCCTAACTTAAGAAATGCAGTACAAGAATGTATTTTCAAAAGGAGTGAATAGATACATTTTACTAACACTTTCTTTTTATGATGATTATTTTAGACCAAGTCAGCATTGGATTGGAATAAATTTAAGACAGAAGAAGGGATAGAAGAGGAGCTGCAGATCCACAATAGAGGCAAATCTGGGTATGTTTCTTCATGAATATTTTGCATACTGAGATGAGCAGAGTGTGAGAAAAAAGAAGGGGTTATTTTGCCCATATTTCCCCTAATTCTGAGCTTAACTAATAAAAACCAAACTCTGTCTAAATTTTCAAGGCTGTTAAAATATTAAGATTTAAATAAAAACTGTAGTAATTCAGGCAGCATTTACATCTTTGAGTAGCATGAGTATTTAGTAGGATGAAACTGTTAAAAAATCTTTGTAAAAATAATAATTATAGAACTTTTAAAAAATACCAAAATGATGCAGTTTGTAATTGCAGTGTTTTATAAATAATTTTAAATTGTGGAATTGATTTGGTTTGTATGAAAATCAATGCATTTTTACCTAAGAGAAAAAGTTCAATGATAAGGAGTATTATGGAACATTTACAGAATAGTTATGGTTTTTGTTTACATGCTAAAATTATTATCATTTTAACACCTTTCAGGTACTTAGAACGGCAAGCATTCCTACAAAGGACAGATCTGAGACAGTTTGAACTGGAAAAAGACATGAGATTAAAGAATAGCAAAAGATTTGCCCCTCCAGATAAATGAGCAATAACATGGTCACAACAATGACATTAACCTGCTCATGTTACTGCTTTTCAAGTGGAAAATGAAAGAGATGCTACACAGTAGGATCACCTAAGAATCAATGAATTGCATACTTGTAAATGATGAGAGACACCCCTTTACCACCGCCAAAAAGTGATTTCATATTGTCATTATAGACCTTTTTCTTTACCAGTTTGGTCAAAGGTTTTGCACCTTTTTTGTCCAGAGCAGAAATCATGGTCCATGAAAGATAATTGATATGACTGTGTGAGACAATTTTAAGGTTGATTTGAGGAACTTATTTCCCAAATTTTTGCCCCCGAATTTTTTGAAGAAGATTTCTCAGATACAGATAATTATTTTCCAATTTTTTCCCGAATTTATTATAGAAGACTTTTCAGATGCAGAAATTTTTTTCCAGATTTTTTTCCAGATTTTTTTTTTTTTTTTTTTTTTTTTTTTTTTTTTTTTTGTAAAAGTGTTTATCAAGTGCAACTTTTTTCATTGATACGTCCTTTTTTTAGGTGCATTTATATTGAAGTATGAATGACTTTGAACGCTGGCTGACTGTTGTTCAGCTCCTGGAGCATAGTTGTATTGCATCTCTGTGGTTATAAAGACATACAAATGTATTACTTGGTATTTCATTTTATCATTCGGTTAGATCACATTTTTTATTCCCTTCAAAATTCAGAATAAAATTGTAGACACTTTTTATTGTGCTACAAAACCTGTTGTTGCAAGTTTCATATTTATAACAACAGAAATTGGCCAAATGCACTGGGATGGCATTCCATAAAGAAACTAGTGAAACGAGCTCTGCTGTAAAGAAAACTTGTTATAAAGAAAAAAGTTATGCTTCCTAAATGTGATCAGCAAAGCTATACATGGTTATTGTTATTATTATTTTTATCATTAAACTCAATTGACCTTTTGTTTATGCTTATTTTGTAACTTAATTGGTGGATACATAAAACGAATGAAAATATCTTGATCTTTATTATTTTTCCCTGTGTCTAAATTATGCTTTTCGTTTAAGCAATATGAATCGACAGCTCTTTCAAATAAATGTAACAAAATTAAAACAAATATTAACACGAGTATTCGGGCTCTACCATTCTTGTTGCACTATATGTACTGCACTGCTACAGTGCTGATACTATGCTATAGTAAATTATCCCCCCCCCCCCCCCCATCCAACAATACAGCTGCCAAACCGCGAAACAATCTCAAAACACTTGCATACATGAGGTGATAATCTTTCTAAACAAACATAATGTATCCTTTGGCAAACGAAGAAAATCTTTTTCAGAAAAAATTGCCATATTCTATCCCATCTTTTGACGTTTAGCTTGTTTGTTTGGCTTGACGATAGATTGACCAATGAAAACGCATATTTTTGTTCAGTGCGGTGAGCAAAGCCAACTTCCGCACATATGAATAGCTTACAGTAGTCAGCAGTAGTGTGAAAACCTGATTCCAGTGGGAAATTCCAATGACTTATATTACGTAAGTTTTCTTGTAAGTAGATATTTATGATTCTGACTTGAAGCTAGTCATCTCTCGATAGCGGGTCATCTCAGTTTGAAAAAATTTTAATAAGATTTGGTACTGTGATTACCGTTTTTATTTGCTAAGTTTCTTCAACGAAAATCTTTTCCTGGGCCATAATGAATAAGATTGTTATAATCAGTAATATTACATCTCTGTCTGTCAATATACGTCTAAAGAAACCACAGCTGATATATGATAGACATGTACCATCGTTCATGTAGCAACTTCAGTCTGCGTGTGAAAATGTACTCAAATATTTATTGTTATTATTTACATCTTAGAAATTTATCAGAAATATTGCTGATAAAGATAAATGTGTGCATACCATGCCTTATATTTTATCTATGGATGCAGTTTCATGTGTCACTTAACCTACATTGTACACATACAGTTTTTAACTGATTGTGACACAATGAGATATTAACATTTAATGATCTTAATCTGTAATTATCCTCCCAGATATTTATTTATTTTATTGCAAATAACAAACCATTTAGCTGGAGTGTTCTGCAATTTGATTTATGTTTTATCTGACTGTCTCCTGCAGTTTTCAATCAATTTCAGCAAAATCTTACAGGCATACAGTTTTGGTTAAGGCCTACATTTTGCAAGTACAGAAGCCTGTACTTATGGACCTGTAAAAGGCTGAATGTAATTAGTTCTTGAATACTCTCTCTAATTTTTCTCTCCATTTTTTCCCTTTGTTTATATAATTTGCAACAATTTTGTAAGATTTAAATTTCCATTTTGGTGTCTATTTATTTAGGTAGACCATTGAAGTAAAGTAGATATCTTCTGTCTTGGCTAGTCTAACTCAACACAATGATTTTCCACTCCACGAGAAAAAAACCCATGTGGGCTCAGGATCCACCACAAATAAAAAGCAAATGTGTTATAGACTGGTAAATATTACTGATGACAAACCATGGACCAGAAGCAAGTCAAGGCAGGAAAAGAGAGTCTTCTCATCCTGGAGAAACTTCAAGACACCTGCCCTTCAAGAACACCTTTTAGTGTGCTAGAGTGGACTCTGATAGACTACGATAATGCAGACATTGAGGTCATCCCTGAATCCATTAAATGGTGTTTCAACGTGAGGAAGATTTATGGACAACGCAATAAGCTTTCTTCTCTACCACAGTCTATTTCTGATTTGCAATTTCTCAAAGAGCTTTGGCTGGGAAACAACCGGTTTGAGGACTTTCCGTCATCAGTGTGTGATGTAACTCTCCTGGAGTTACTGGATCTAAGTGGAAACCAACTACTTAAGATCCCAAGAGATATCAACAGGTTGCGCAATCTTAGGAGTTTGTATCTCAGTAACAACAAGTTCACAGATTTCCCCACGGCTGTTTGTGGCATCAGAAAGCTAGAAGAGCTACAACTTGACAATAATCAACTATCACAAATCCCAGACTCTGTGCAACAGATGGATAATCTCCACATTTTAGAACTTGGAAATAACGATTTCAATGCAATTCCAGACCATATATGTTCAATTCCAAACTTGGAAAAGTTATTCATGGAAAACAATGTCATAACACACATTCCTGCCAGCATTGGAAATTTACAGAAACTGAATAAACTCAAGCTGGATCAAAACAAAATCACTCATCTACCCCACGAGCTTGTGTCTGCCAAAAATCTTCTAGATATTCACTTGCATGATAACCCCCTTGTGGAGCCCCCTGAATCAGTTTGTTCTAAAGGGCTGGAGGCCATAGGAAGGTACTTTCATGAGCTCAAAGACAGCAAAGCTGTCCAGTCCAGCAGAATTCAGTTAAATTTGCTGGGGGAAACAGGCAGTGGGAAAACCAGTGTTTCACTTTCTCTGCAACGCGACAAGCCCACTCTCACTGCACAAGCCGACCGGACCAGAGTAATAGCGCAGGGTTCCTGCGAAACTCGGCCAGATATTGCCTTTAACATCAACGACTTTGGAGGACATGACGTGTACAAGGTTAGTCACCCAATCTTCATATCAAAGAATGGCATCGTGCTAATCGCTTTCAACTTGGTTACGTATAACCTGAGCAACCCGGATCACTACAGACTCTACATTGGAGATTGGATTGACAAAGTACAGGCGCAGACTCCAGGCATGAGGATTGCCCTTCTGGGAACACATTTCGATGAAGTAAGCACAGAGGCTGCAAAGACGATACGCCAAGCTGTTCTGGAACAAATGAAACAGCACATGGAAGAGAAGAAGAGGTGGTTGAAAACCCAAGTGTCAAACATTGATGAGAAGATTGAAGATTTACAGCAGAGTCCAGAGCAGGAGGAGATAATTCAGGCTTACAGAGTGAAACAAGGCAGGTTGTCCAAGGCAGCCAACCATGTGGTGGACGTTTGTGACCATGTCTTTATGGTCAGCTCTAAGACCATGGAGGGGTATCCTCAGCTCAAGGAGTACCTGTCCAATCAAGCCCAAAGGTGGGCTGTCAGCCTTCCAGGAACTTGGGTCCAAGCTGCCAATGCCATCCGCATCCAGAAATATGAAAATTCCAACAATACCCTTGACTGGGTTGCTCTGCAGGAGGTCATTTCCCAGCATGCACCAAGATCATGGCAGAAGAGAAGCCCAGCTGAGAAGCGAGTAGTCATTTGTGACATTCTTAGTTTTCTTGCCAGCCGTGGTGATATTATCTGGTTCGACACCAGCCCCACTTTGGCGAGGGTCATCTTCCACAAACAGGAGATCCTCGCTGGCCTGCTCAAGGCTGTGCTGAACCACGACCTGGAGCACCTTATGGTCAAGCTGCTGCGCCCACTCAAAATGAGCCGTCCAAGATTGGAGGACATCAGGGAGGACTTTGCGATCAGAGGGATAGTGTCCAAAGATGTGATGAAGTGCCTCTGGGGACAGTTTCACCTGTCCTCGGTGGAGACAGAAGTCCTGGTGGAGCTCCTGCAGCAGCTGGAGCTGTGCTACCAAGTGGAGAAGGGAACTGCTGTGACTCCAGACACAACCTTTCATTTCCCGTGGTTACTGACTGAAGACAGGCAGCAGGAGGTAATTGTATTTAAATTTAGTACACTTTATGTTAGAAATGGTTTACTTTTACAGTTTTTTACTATTTGTTTAAGTGTGGGTTGCGCATGCTTGCACTAATAATCTTACAGATATTTATTAAAGTTTTTGATAGCTATCTATTCTGAAATGTTTTATGCCATAAATATTTCACCAGATAACGCATCAATTTATAACAGTTTAAGTAGACTTATTTGCAAATCTGTCCTCTTTATCTTTCCACTTAAACAGAAACAAATTAATTTTTTTCTTAAAACTGCTTTACGTAATTGTTTTTTTGAACTATCAAAATATTGCAGAGGCTACTTATGGATAGCAATGATTTTTCTCTATATATTGACCCATCCAACAGACAAGGACAAACATTCTGATATTATATTCAATTATATTTTTGCATTTTTTTCACTATGCTAGTTGGAGGAAAAGTGGCCAAGATGTCTTCCACAAGATCTCATACAAGTCACATTGGAAGTTTATTTCCCATACAAATGCCCAGATGGCATGTTCGAGAAATTCTCTGTCCGCCAACACAACTACCTGGGCTTCTACAAATCCCATAGGATGGACTGGAAAGATGGTTTGTATGCCCAAGTCAGAGGCTGCCGCATCCAGATCTCACGCAGTCAGAGGGAATCTGATTGGGTGATCACTGTAGCCATCCGTGGGAGGAACATAGAGGATCTGTGGCCGCCGCTTCACCGTGCTCACAGCGATTTGATGAGCGTTATTCAGGAGGACTGGCCTGGGGTGTCATATGACAAGTTCCTGGTTTGTCCTCACTGTGTTAAAGAAGGCTTTAACAGACCCCACCTCTTCCCTGGAGAGTTGCTAGACAGACCCCCACCCATCAGTGGAGAAGATGCCGATGTCCCATGTAGAAACTGTGATGATCTTATTGATGCTGGGTTGGTGTATCCAGCTACAAAAGCTGAGATTTGCCACAAAGGTAAGGACATTGGCAACAGAGGTAGGCCGTTTGTCACAAGTACTGTAGGCCATTTCCCACATGGGCATTTTCTGATGTACAAGATTTTATAATTTTCATGATGAAAATTGATATTTATATGTAAGCAAAGTGAGAGTGTTTTTACTGTAACTGTAATCAGTCACTTAGTAAACCCTTAACTTATTACAATGCATAATATATTTTACAGATTCATTATCAAATTTTTTATTTCATTAAAAAAATTCATACATTCTGGCATGAACCAAACATGCTAATTAAATAATTGACTAATGAACTATAATTTCAGAAATATTGCTTTTTTTTCTTTTCATAACTTTAAATCTGCTTAAGGTCTTACCAACAGTTTTGGGATCAATAATTTTGGTAATATTGACTAAAATGACAAGTAATACAACTATTTTTTCTTGCTGTATTGATTATAACATCTTGAATGTTTCTTTAAATGACCATGTAATAATTTTTCCCAATTTCCAGTATTACTCCAAAACCGAGACATTCTGATAGAAAACATCACAGAGGCATGTCTGCGTGACATACTGAACGTCCTCCAGCAGGAGGAGATTATCACGATCCGGGAAGTTGAGACAGTGAAAGCCGAACCGTCTTCTCCAGTTTCAGACGCACCTCCTCCGTCCATCAGAAAAGCATCAGCAAGTGGGAAGATGTCAGGTCAGAAATCTCTCAGCAGTGGATATCCAAAATTCAATGGTCCAGCTGTTTCCCCAAGCAAGACTACGATGGAAAATGCCAGGAAAATGCGGCCCGCTTTGGCGGTGGAGAAAACGTCTCGTGTGGTGGCGTTGGGCGGCACTGCTGTGCTGCTGGACATCCTGGGTACGAGAGACGAGAAAGCTCTGTGCTGCCTGTGTGACTGTTTGGAAAGAAATGGACAGGGAGGTCTAGTTGCTCAGATACAGTAAGTCTTCTTTGATAATTGATGAAACGTATGGTGCCTTATTTTAATAGATTAAATTTTTTTCTCATTTATATAGAGCAATGCAGTCTATGTGAGATGATGGTGAAAATATATTATATCACACTTTACAGGAAAAAAAATCCCATTTGTTTCTCCTCATTGTTTTAGTCTGCTCCCTTTCCCCTTACACCTTGTTCATTTTTCAGTGAAATAAATATAAAATGATAATAAAACAACATATTTCTGACTTAATTCAAATATTCTATCAGATTTTCCTTTTCATTTTTAATGAATCATTGATTTTAATTGTTCTGTACAAAGCAGTGTGATTTTTTTTTCCCAAGCTGTCTTCTCAACTTTGCTGTTTGTTTATATTTCAGGTCCTCTACAGTATATTTCCCAAGGGACTGCAGCACAGACAGATTTGCTTCCAAACCTTGCTGAGATTTCACTGTTGTGCCAGTACAATTAAATGGACAGGTGCTTAAGTGCTAAAAAGTTGAATTGCTAGGGACTTCCATATTATATGTATGGTGATTATTCAATCTTTTCAAAGAGGAAAAATTGTGAATTTTACAGATACTGAATTTTTTAAGTCATAGTTTCTTAAAATGAAGACATTCCTATTGCGTGGTAGCAACAAAACTGACTACTCTATCATGCTCTTCAGTGCAGTGAAAGCACCACAAATGCCATATAAAAATATAAATTTTGTGATCATAAAATTATGTCTGAAAGTTTGATCACTTTTGCCCATTGAAAAGATCGAGTAAATACCTTATTATATATTTTAAAAGATTCACAAAATTGCCAAAGAGAGAGAGAGAGAAATACACACACCCGGGTCCACTGACGCGGGCAAACCCAGATTACCAGTTAAGTAAGGGCCTAATTTTTTCCCGTCCTCTCCCCTATTTATCTCTCTCCCACCCACCCTCCTTATAAGTGACATTTTTAATTGATTATACAGGAGTTTGTGAAAAAGATTGCTTTGGATTGCAATTTAGCTGGTGGGTAATGTTATTCAGTATATTAGGTTTAAAATAATTTCAAAAGGAGGAGTCACTTTATATTTTGGGGGGAGCATTTTTGTTTCTTTAATTTGTTGTATTTCAAAGGGGTAAAACATTTTTATGGCCCATTATTTTGCCTTTTGGCTCTTTTTTATCTCTTTTTTAAGACGTGACAAGACAAGTCAAGAAGTACTTTGTTTTTTAAAGGTAGCCATGAGTCCTGTCCATGACAAATATGCACATATTATAGATGAACTTATATTTACATTTCTACATAGATACTAATCACCTTTTATATTTAGCAGTTTCATGTTGAACAGCAGTTTAAAATGTATGTAAATAACTTTGGGGGACAAGTTTAGAGTTTAGTGACCAATTATATTAGTTCAGTGATGTAAACCAGTTCATCTCAGTTTAGTGAGCATACATTCAGATATTATATTTTTTCAGTAAGGTCTTTTATGGTCTTAAAGTGAAAATTGCTAATGTTTTCAAGGGAGTTTTTTCTCCCAAAATCTTTAACCATCTGTCATGTCATTACACCATAGAGTGCCTTTGAATTCTTGGTTTATTTTCATATCTATGCCAGCCTTGCAGTCCAGTTTAAAACAGTATTATCACAATATTTTTAGGAATTTTACAGATTCTATATTTTACAAACTGCTGGAACATTGTCTTTCTAAAGCAGAGTAATTTATTTTACAGTAATTTTTAACAAGGCAGCAAAGCTGTCAAATGTACAGACAAAAAGCAGGAAATAACTATGCACAAAAGAGGCTACTGTCAATTCTGATGCAAAAGTACATTATGTTAAACTGCAAATTCAACATCAAATTTTAATTATGCTCAACAGGTAATACCAATGTAAGTAAAATGTGTAACAAGCATAAGGCTTCAGGTCCATGGCAGTTCAAATTCACACTTTGAAAATGTATAACTTCCAGAAAAAGAAGCCAATTAGACTGCTTTTCCAACTCAGGCTGCATTTTAGTCCTGTATTTCTTTTCTGAACGTTTGGCAGTCATCAGTAACATGGTTTTCCCATAATGGTCATCATGGTAGCAGCACCCAAAATTGTTTTCTTCTATTCTGATGCAATATTACATAGTGGTTAACAGCATAATGACCGTCAATTTTTAATAATAAAATATACGTATCATGGATTTTCAAAAAATGTGACTAGCATGGGTCTTCAAGCCCATGGAACTTCAAAGTCACACCTTGAAAATGCCAATATGTGAAAAATTAAATTTTCACAAAAAAAACTGTTTAACTAGCAGAAAGAATTACCAAACAGACTGCATTGCCTACTGAAGCTGTATTTTAGTCCCATGTTTCTTTCCTGTAAGTTTGAGAACAGTAAGTGACATGATTTTTCTTAAATGGTCATCATGGGAGCAGTGCC